TCCCTTTATGGCAAACATTAGCTGTATTACTTTATGCTTACAAATCATAACAGTGGGGTAAAAATGTGTCGATTGTCCTGCAGAAAAAAACATCATAGTATCATAAACATTTGTTTGTTTAATAACTTACTTTTTTATGTATATTCAGAAATCCAATGGCAAGGGAGACCTTTTGAAGTTACCTTCCGGGTCATCACTCTTTTGATCACTCCCATTGTATTTACAGCATTTCATTGTAAACACCTTTAATGAACACGAAGTTGATCAGAGGAATTTAAAAAAATGCATAATCCTGTAGATGTTTCATATTTTATGTTCATAATAAAGCTATTTTCTGTTTGACTGAAGTGATGAAACATACTGTTCAAGCTGAGCACTGCAAATTCAACTGTGTGCTTTCAAATCTCATCGTTAAAATGTAAAGCATGATGATTCTGAAAATAATCTAGTCCACACAAGAAAAGCCCATATTATCAACGGGGCTCTAGCATTACTTTACCTGCCCAATGATCGCTTACCTTATAATTAGTGTGTCTGTCTATTTTCAGTGCAGTGGTTGAGTCCCACTTTCATTTGATCTAGGCAACAGAAAAGTGCACCAACATGTTATATGAATGTGTACATTTGCAGTGTGCTTGGATCACATCAATCACAGTCAAGGTATGGTTTTTCCTTCCCTCCTTTTTGTATTTTAGTGTTTAGACCTGCAGCAATTAGATTCATGTATTGTACTGTATATGAAGAAAAAGCCACAAGCAGCTATTCTTGTAATCGCTCTATAAATTATATGACAAATGTTACAGTACAGTCAGTTATCTCAATTCCAGGTAAGCACACTGCAATTATTACACTAATGAAGCACCTTTTATTTATCAAAATACCCATAGAATATTGTCAGACTTTATCCCACACTACATCTGTAACTGCTATGCCTGTAGCCAGCTCCCATGGTAAGAGTCTGATTGACGTGGTGGGGGTCTGGGTAAAATGAGGGGAGAATAAGTGAAATAGAGATTAACTGATGAAGGAGGGAGCCAGGAGGAGAACAATTGGTCATGCCGCCCTTCGCTTTGTCCCCCCCCCACCCCCCCATTGTTTCCTCTATCGCCTGTTTCACCGATGTCATCAGTTTGCTGACTCATTCACTTTTATGAGCCTCATTAAATAGAGACAATATTCAATGTCTATAACACAACATGTTTACTTACACAACATGTGTAAGCACGTTATCCATGACGAAAGGCAGTTTCCATTGTTCACTAGTGAAGGGAATAAAAGAGTTACCTTCACTCATGTTAATCTGCATGGGGCCCCTGTATGTAAGCCTAGCCATCCATGTAAACTTTTATAAAAAGAAAATATTAACTAGTGACAAAATAATAACTATTCTTCCAAAGTATTTATTAACCATTAGGCAAGGTGTCATTATCATCATTTGCAACTTTATTTACAGTCAATGTTTTAACCATTGACAGATATTTTACAACAAAATAATAAAAGGTTTGCAAATCATTTGGCAATCATAAACATAGTTTATAAAATGTTATAATGTGTGCACCATCAAATGAAATATATTTAACATAACTAATAACTTCTTTACAATAATAAATTAGCTTGTTTACTGTTAAATAACTAATAACTTGAGTTTGATAAACCATTATGTTACCATTATCTCGGTAATCAAGTGTTGCCACATGTTGTTTGCTATACTGTTAGCAGCCTTGCTAACTCATGTCATAAAATGTCTGTGCATTGAATTGCAGGCCTGTCAGCCCATTACTCCACATTTATGAACAACAACTGCATCTCTTTCTCCCAGATTAATATCATTCACATGTAACTGGAATGCGCAGAGAATAATAGCATACTGATGTATCAGCACAGCTTCCCCTTCCTGGTGGTAGCCATTTCTCCTATTTGTTGAAAGATACATTTTCATAAATCTGTTACTGTTAATAAATATGTTTCAGCGATCAACACTAATACTGATTGTTGTGAAAATAATAAGTGCTTGTATTTGTAACTAATTCAGCATGACTTTTCCTTGTGCGAATTCACCGAAACAAGCACTTTAGGCAAAACAAATGGAGCTTGAGATGTCTGTGTGTGAGTCATTGACTCAGTGACAACATTAGATCTCCTTCAGAGGCCAGAAACAAGTGGAGCACTCGGATGGATCTGCAGCGTTTAACACTAGAACCGCCAGGGGTCACTTTATACCTAAAACCGCCAACGGCTAAAATTGATCCGCTATTAGAATGCATTGATTTTCAAGGTACAGTGTTCAATCAATCAATGTTTATTTATATAGCCCAATATCACAGATGTTACATCTGTCTCAGTGGACTTCACAGTTTGTACAGAATATCAGTATGAAAATACGACACCCTCTGTCCTTAGACCCTCACATCGTACAAGGAAAAACTTCCAGAGAAAACCCACAGTTTAAAGGGGAACATGGGAGAAACCTCAGGGAGAGCAACAGAGGAGGGATCCCTCTCCCAGGACGGACAGACGTGCAATAGATGCCGTGTGTAAATCCAAGAGATAATACATTTACAGCGTAGGTAGTCCAAATGTTTGGAAATGCATGTGTCTATAATAAGAAGATTAATCCACGAGGATATCAGCAATCCTGTGGGAGCCTTCAGGGAAGTAGTATGATGAGAGTCTGGCAGGACCGCAGAGACAGGTTCAGCCGCGACTCAAAGTCCAGGACTCAAATCCAGTACTCAGGATAGAGGACACAATGTGGCGGCTACATTGTGGCTACGACACATGACTCAGGATCCAGGACACAGGACCACAGCAACAGGATCAGCCACGACTCAGGATCGCGGCGTAGATAGACACCAAAAATAAATTTGGGGAAGCTGGGTTATTCGGAACCTGAGAGTACACAGGTACAGACAGAGAGAAGGAAGAAGTAAGGTGTCCCCCGACAAACTAAGCCTATAGCAGTTAAACTAACGTGTCTACGTGCATGCACTCCCTTAGGATTGGGTGAGGGAAAAGAGTAGGAATTAAGATGTATGCGCCACATCTATACCATGAGCGCATTGCTCCTAAAACGTTTTTTTTGGCACTGACACCAATCTACAGTTGTGTGTCGACTCGTCAGGGATCAAGGCACGTACAGTATATGTCTCTCCCTGCTTCCACCGTTTACACACACACCACCAAATTACATACCATCAGCAAGGAAAAAGAGTAAGAACTAAGATGTATAGATGAAGAGGCACAACATGTCTACGTCAATGCACTCTTATTAGATTATTTTATCAACTATAAGCTTTATCAAAAAGGAAGGTTTTAAGCGCCCGGATAGGCTGTCTGCCGCCCGAACACAAACTGGAAGCTGATTCCACAAATGTGGAGCTTGATAAGAAAAGGCTCTGGCTCCCATTGTACTTTTAGAGACTGTAGGAACAACCAACAACCCTGCATTCTTGGAACGCAATGCCCTAGTAGGACAGTAGGGTATAATGAGTTCTTTAAGGTAAGATGGCACATGCCCATTAAGGGCTTTGTAGGCGAGAAGAATAATTTAAAATTATATCCTGTGTTCTATAGGGAGCCAGTGTAAGGCAGCCAGAACAGGAGTAATGTGGTCCCTTTTCCTAACTCTGGTTAGTACACAAGTTGCAGCATTTTGAATCAGCTGTAGCGACTTGACTGACTTCTTGGTACACCCTGATAATAAAGAGTTACAATAATCCANTAAGGAGTCGTGGAGGAGTCACGCATTCTGGTGAGATCAGGTTGCACAGTTGCCACACTCGCTGCCCAGGTTGTAACCAAGCCCCCAGGAAGTGCGCCGGACTCTGATGAGAATATTCGTTGTGGCCAAACGGCGGTACTACACTTCCGTTTAGGTTGCTGGGCCCGGAAACACTTTTCCCCATTGACTAACATTGGGAAAGAGTGGTCTGTAAATCGTTGCATAATTTTTTTAAACTACCCACTATGAACGTTTGTATAGCCCTTATTAAAAACATTCGGTCCTCAAGTTGTAAAATGTGCTTAACGTTATTCTGAGAGTTATTTTCCTCGGCATTATGAACGTGCATCTAACCCACGGGGCCGCGCTGCCCGGCACGTTCATGTTACGTGTTCTGACTGTAACAGTTTGGAGGATTTAGCAGCCTGGTATATTACACAGTTTTAGCGGCATATGGTTGGTATTTAACAAAAAGGGGTGTAGTCTGTGTTGTAGTGTGTGATATTGGTATTTATGGAAACATTTTACACCTTTCCTTCAAGTATTACACATTTGTGTTACTTGTGGGGTACTTAACATGAATAGTCACAGTTACTCTCCTTTTACTCCATCACATTTCAAAGAGAAATAGGCTATTGTTATTTTAACTCCACCACAGTAATCCATCATCAGCTTTACTTTTTAGATAATCAATCAATCAATTAATGTTTATTTATATAGCCCAATATCATAAATGTTACATTTGTCTCAGTGGACTTCACAGTTTGTGCAGAATATCAATATGACAATATGACACCCTCTGTCCTTAGACCCTCACATCATACAAGGAAAAACTTCCAGAGAAAACCCACAGTTTAAAGGGAAAAATGGGAGAAACCTCAGGGAGAGCAACAGAGGAGGGATCCTTCTCCCAGGACGGACAGACGTGCAATAGATGCCGTGTGTAAATTGAAAAGATAATACATTTACAACATAGGTAGACCAAATGTTTGGAAATGCATACATTTACATTCTGTAAATCTTATTATTATAGACACATGTGTCTATAATAAGAAGATGAACCCACGAGGATGTCAGCAATCTTGTGGGAGCCATCAGGGAAGTAGTATGGTGAGAGTCAGGCAGGACCGCAGAGACAGGTTCAGCCACGACTCGAAGTCCAGGACTCAGGATAGAGGATCCAGGACACAGGACCGCAGCAACAGGATCAGCCTCGACTCAGGATCGCGGCGTAGATAGACACCAAAAATACATTTGGGGAAGCTGGGTTATTCGAAACATGAGAGTACGCAGGTACAGACAGAGAGAAGGAAGAAGTAAGGTGTCCCCCGACAGTCTAAGCCTATAATAGCTAAACTAACATGTCTACGTACATGCACTCCCTTAGGATAGGTTGAGGGAAAGGGCTAAGTAAGAAGTAAGAAACAGAGGTGGAGAGGCACAACGTGTCTATACTGCCTCTATTGTGTAGTTTAAAATGTGTGTGTGCTGTTATTGTAATTATTTATACATTTTAACATGTTTCTATGAGCACCTTGCTATAAATAAAATGTTATTATTATTATGAACAAGCTGAGATTAACAATACAAGTGTTGCTCTGGCAAAACTATTCTTCCAACTTATAAGTACAATTACAACAGATAGAAGGTTATTTAAGTGTAAGTACTGGATCTGTCCATATCAAAGAAGCTATATAAGGATACGGAAATAAGCTCTTAATTCTCACACTTCGAAAGGTTTAACCAGAAGTTTTGTTTGTATGTGACATGCATACTTAGTCACTAACTGTCATGTGATCCAGCCCTGATCATCCTGTGTTTCCTAACCATCGTCTCTTCCCCTCCTGCAGTCTGGAGTCATGCTGCCTCTGAAGGAGAAAGATAAACCCGTGGTCCAGAAGCTTCTGTCGGCCGGCTGCTGCGCTCGCTGCGTCCTCAGGTTCTGCTGCGTGAGCGTCCAGGCCGCCTACAGGAAGCCCCACCAGGTAACACTCACCTGCTATACTTAATTATAAGCCTTTGAAAAGTCCTCTGGGAGCCTCATATAAATCAGAACAGAATCAGAATCAGAAACAGGTTTATTACCAGGTTCACACGTACGAGGAATTTGACTTGGTGTCGTGGTGCATAGATAAAAGTAAAACAAATGTAAAAAACACAGATATAAAACTATTTTAAGAAAACTATGATAACATTAACGAGTATAACAAAATATGAATCAGTCTAAGTGCACCCTCTTTTGCTAGTGACTGGCTGATCCGTCCTGCATCGTGTCATTTATCACCAGGAAACACTCAAAGAACTTCAAGCGTTCATCGGCAACACAGAGAACGGCAAATCCCAAGATTCAGTAGCAGCAGATTCCACAGAAGAAAACAACAAATCCCATGATGCAACAGCACCAGAACCAACTGATGAACCCGCTGATGACCCGCCGAGCAAAAGAGCGAAACTGGAGCTCAGCGGGACTGAAGCTCCGTCAGAGGAAGACGCGGAGGAGGAGAAACTGACGGAGGAGCCGAGTGTGTGTGTGGCGTGTTTGGGCATCCTACAGGAACTCTGTGGCACGACTCAGGCCGTGAAGGTGTGTGTGCAGTTACATATTCACACACACACATTGTCAGATTGTATCTTGCGTCAGATGATCTTGATGTTTTGTGTTCACAGATAGCGGAGAAGGTGAAGGCAGAAAAGTACGAGCTTGAAACTCTGGTTCTGTCTGTGTCTCTGCCCGCTCAGCTGTGTGTCCGCGAGGTCAGTGTGTGTGTGGTATGTGTGTGTGTGTGATGTCATTTAACCATTGTTGGAAGAAGTACTCCCTACTTTGATTAGGTTAAAGAAGATATATTATGCTCATTTTCAGGGTCATATTTGTATTTATTGTCTCTACTCTGACATGTTTCAATGCTTTAATGTTCAAAAATCTATTTTTTTGTATATGTGTGGGAGAGAAACTCCCTTTGGAGGTAACACATGGATTTTAGACTTTGCAGACCATTTACATGCACACACACTTATATAACACACATCAGGAAAGGGAAAAGCACAATAAGGCCTCTTTAAAGTATAAATACCACAGTCTGAAGATATTGAATTACAATTAAAATCCCTGAATTAAACATTACATGAGTAAAAGTAAATAATTATTATCTTAAACATGTACTTAAAGTATCAAAAGTAAAATAAGTTATGTTGAACAGCTCTTTCCAAAGAATATTATATTATTTTGTAAGGATGTCCCGATCACCTTTTTTTGCTCCCGATCCGATTCCGATCATTTGATTTTGACAATTTGCCGATACCGATTTTTCCCGATCCGATCTTTATGCAATGCATTAAGAGGAAAAAAAAGCATTCAAGTTGTCCCTTAAGGTAATTTTTTTATTTAAATTGGATATTCTATCCAACATGGATATAGCTTCTTTCTTTCACAGCAGCATTGGATCAGTTCAGTTGTGCAGCATTGGATCAAAACAAAATAAAGCTTTCAGTACTCGTTAGCTTACTGCTACAATTAGACACTGCGCCCTGCCCACTCTGTTGCCAGATTTGAGAGAAATAAGCAACCAGGTCTATGAAAACAAGCCCCAAAGAAGCAACACATATATGATGTTGTGTAATTTGAAACCAAAACTAAGGCCTCAGGATGACTTCAAGACTTGAACATGGTCATTTTTGTTTTGTAACATTGAAAAAAAAAAAAAATCCGATCCCTAATTTTTTTTCTCCCGATTCCGATCTTTTGAAAATCACGTGATCGGCTCCGATCCCCGAT